TCTTTGTCAATGGAAAACCAGTGAGTAGCTAAGCTTGGCAGGGCTGGTGGCATCCTGGTAGGAGGGTGGGCATCAGGGACCAGAGGCCAGGTTGGAATCGACTGGCGTCTCTGAATTTCTTGCTGGGAAGAAGATGCCCAATTACACTGCCCTCAGGACACCTTCTTCCTGAGGTGTGATGGTGAAGGTCCTGGAGTCAGGCAGATCTGAGCCTGCCTGGCTGCTTATGACCTTGGGCAGCTCCCTGAGGTCCCTGAACCTCAGTTTCTCCCACCTGGTTTATTTAGTGCTAGATGGAGATTACCCACCTCAGGGAAGGGGGCCCCTTTATCTTATCCAGTAGGAAGCCTCCACCCCACCCTGGCTAATATCACAGGCAGGCGTTGTCCAGCCACCCTCACCCCAAGAAGCTTTCCTGCAGGCATCTGGTCAGGAGGAGGACAGTGCCCAGTTGTGGAGGGACAGTCTCTGTCCCCAATCTGCCAGGGGGCAACCAAAGAAGGTCAGTTGTGTAATGGAAGCTCGAGATTTCACTAAGGCTGCACAGCTGACAAGCTGGCAGTCATGTGCACCCACCCAACAGAAATTACTCTAGAAGGCAGTGGCGCTGCTGAGAAATCCAGAACAGGGTTCTGGGGGTGAGTCGGGTGTCTAGGCTCCTGCCTAACCCCTGCTCTGTGCTCAGGAGCCAGGTCTGCTGACATTCTCCCTGCCACAGGCCTTTGACTTGGGTCCAACTCCTCTGCACTGCCCTCCTAGAACCCCTCCTGGCTGCATCCAGACTCCGGTGGCTCAACAGCTCCATGGAGAGCCTTATGCCTCTCCCCAGCAAGACCAGTGACCAACACCCTCTTCCTTAGGTCCTCTCCTCCCAGGACCCCAATGGTGCCAGCCCTGACAGACCTGGATATCTCCCAGATGCCAAGACCCTGTGGTCAACACAAAGCCTGCAGCCTGTGACTGTGGATCAAATGAGCATCCTGCCCCTCAGCCCTTACCTGCCCAGTCCTTGCTGCCTGCTTAGGGGGTTATCCAGCCTCTATCCCGACAACCTTGTGGACCAAATGTGACCTGGTATGTTCCTCTGGGGCCCCTTTCCTCCTGCTCAGGGCATTGCCAGGATGAAGTCTGGGTACTCAGGAGTGGCAAGTGGGCTTTCAAGGCCCTCAAGGATCACATCCCTTGTCCACACAGCTTTGGCACCAAAGTCATGGCAAGTTTTGTCTCAGAAATAGTCTGTATCAAGCCTCCCTCTATGAAAGGCCACACTGGCCTCAGGCCCCATGGGTGAGGCGGCAGAGCGAGCAGACACAAATGAGAACAGGAAGACACTGTTTGAGACTGAACTTTGTCCCTTTACAGGCAAGCACCCAGTGACCATCCTGGGACCTGGTGGAAGCATAGCCATGTTCAAGCCAACCATCTTTCATAGAATTCCAAGTACTGTGTGGACTCCCCTTGCAAACACAGCAGACTGTCCCACCCCCATCTCACAGAAGAGCTTCTAGCCTGTCCAAGACTCTTGAAGGGGTGAAAGTCTTCCAGAACCTGACTGAACGGCTCTAAGGACGACTTTAATTCAGCCATCTTGGCTAACGCTGTTAAGATGTGTAGTTTTAAGGGTCTAGCTCCACAGAACACCATGTGAGCCATCAGACTAGGCTCAGGGAAAGGACCAGCCTGGGTACCTAAGTGGACTGGGTAACTCAGGGCCTGGCAGTTTCCTGGGGGAAAGGGGAAACCCAGGAAGCTGCAGGCTAGAGGGGGCAGAAGGGAGCTTGGGGACATTTAGGGCAGTCTGCCCCCTCTGCTCCATTCCCAGAGCCATTGCCTGGCCAACATGTCAGCCTCTGGAAGGGTTGGGGTCCAGCTAACGGCAGAAGGCCCCGTTTTGGCCCAGAGGAGCACACTGTACCAAGCCCTAGACCCTATAGATGTGTTCTGTCTCATATCAGGGGCCTGGGCTAGAGAGGGTGCTGGAGGCCTGCCTGTCCCAGACACCACCTGGCATCCCCTGCAGATGTTAAGTGTAGTAGAGGCACATACCTTTACCTGACCAAGGAGATGCTGCTCTCCTGGAAGTTACCTAGGCCTGAGCACCCAATAGCAAGATGCCATCCAGGACCTCAAGACATTGAATTGCGCTTTCCTTCCCAGGGACAGACCAGACTTCAGGGTCCTCAGTGTCCAAGGGAAGAGTTCAAGTCCATTCCAACATGTAGGTCATTCAGACCTTGATAGATCCTAAGGGGCGGGGGTTGGGGGCTGTAGACACAGAGCCCAGGAGTGGGAGGGGCCCTGAATTCTTCACTGAAACTGGTCTGAAGGAGCCAGAACAGAAATCAGGCTGGGCCAGCTGGACAGTATGTGCTTCAGCTTAGATCCAGAGTGTCCCCAAAGACCTTTCCATTGAAGGCCTGGTTCCCAAGGTTTTGGCCCCACTGGGGGATAAAGCTCCCAGGAGGTGGAGCCTATGGGAGGAAGTTAGGTCACTGAGAGCAGACCCTTGAGGGGATGTAGGGACCATAACCCCTTCTTTTGCTTCCTAGCCACTATAAAGTAAACAGGGCCCACCTACACCTCACCAAGATATATTGTGCCACCATAGACCCAAAAGCAATAGACCAAGAGATCATGGACTAAAAGCCAAAACAAACCTTTTCTCCTTCTGTTTATCTCAGGTATTCTGTCACAGCAATGAAAAGCTGACTAACACTGAGTATTCCTGGCATTCCAGCTCTGGAATTCTTTTCCAGGATCTGGGAGTGTGTCCTGGAGGCTTCTTGGAATCTAACTGTTGGGGCCGCAGGGGCCTTTCCTGACCTGTAAATCCCCACATGTTGGGCCCTTCTGTGGCTGTGGGTGCTTAGTGCTACAGACAGGATGAAAAAGACTCCAGGCTGACCCAGCCTCTATCTCCATCTGAGTCCTGTGGGGTCCTGCCATACTTGTCCTGGAAGGCCAGTTACACTGGGGCCTCATCCCAGAATCCTATGCCCGCATCTAGGGCCCAGATACTGTCCCAACAATGGACAGTGGCTCCCAATGGGTGAGCATAGCAGTGGGCACCAGGGCCCTACTCTGCTTCTCTGGGCCTCAGTTTCTCCAAGGGAGACCTAGACAGACATCCCTGAGTAGAGCTGGAGCTGGGGTGCCCATGGTGGCTAGCCTAGGGGGCCCCAGGCTGGGCTGAGGTGACAGGGTAGGAAATGGGTACTCCTGGAGATTAGCCTTACAAGTCAGAATACTAAGGGCCATGGCGAAGGCCCTGGGGTGGTGTGTCACCGGCTCCCCTTCCTCCCTAATTATCTTTTCTCTTACCCTAGAGGGTCCTCAGCATCTAGGTGGGTTTGGCCCTCACCCCTGACACACTCCTTCACCGACTAGGTGGGCAGGGCCCACCCTCCTTTTTCCAGTGTGTCTCCACTTTCTCAACCAACCCTGAGGGATGGAGACCAGTGTGTCTCTTACCTCCATCTGTCGCCAGATTTAGCATCCTTTGAACCTGTCGGTAGTCACTTATTGCCCAGTCTTGCTTCACCTCCACAGCATTCCCAGATAGCCTGTTGGGTACTGTGACCCCTAATCTCCAGAAAAGCCTGGAGGTAGTGCTCCCCAGAATTGCTGGATCCCTCCCAAGTTCAGAGCAGTGCCAAGGCTTCTGGGCCCTCTTTCAGATTCACACTCGGACCTGTGGAGGTCATGGCTAGAAGGTGGTGACCTTGGACAAGCGTCATGACTGCCATCTGCCTCTACTCCCCACTGTGGAGCTTGTATGCACACCCAGTGTGGGGACCTCCATGCTAAGGCCCTGAAAGTTCTGTTCACCACATCTATAGGATGCCCACCAGCACCGACGTATGGGGGGGGGGGTGAGCCTTGCTGAGCTCCTGTGTAAGGCTGGCCTTCCTCCGAATGCTTCAGGGTTTCCTCATTTTCGCACGGGGGCTGAAGGACCAGGTAGCTAAGTTCTGGGAGGAAGGATGATCCTCCCAGCACTTGAGTCAGCAGAGGCGCTCAGGGAGGCATAATTCCAGGTCAGGTGGGTAGACACATAGATAGGAAGTAGGATGGAGGGGTGGAGGGAAGGCAGGTAGACAGAACGGGGACCAACACCCTCAGCTACCAAGTAGGGGAGACTGTATTCAGAGAGGAGGGTCCTTGCCAGGTGTAGTGGCACACACCTTTAATCCCAGCACTTGGGAGGCGAGGCAGGCAAATCTCTGCTTAAGGCCTGAGCACCATTACATAAAAACCTGTCTGAAATAGAGGGTCTGCCAGCACAGCCTGGAAGCCATGATGCCTGCCATCAGAGCTCTCTGACGACTCAGTGATGGGGAGAAACTGGCTATGACACCCCCACCCCAACCCCTGCAGTGTGCTCCAGAGGGTAGGTGGCTTTATTCTTCCTTTCCAAAACTTCCCTAGTCTCCTGGCCAGAAGCTTCTGACACAGCCTGCCTGAGGCTCTACAGGTGCTAGGGTCAGAGAGCACTCAGTGGCCTCATAAGACGAACACTGTCCACCTCCAACCCAATTTCACACCTGGACATGGTTTTGGCTCCCCCTCCCCTCCCACATCTGTCAGACCAGAGTTCAACTGCTATTGACCAAAACATCAGCACTCAACCCCACCTCCTGCCCTTTTACATACTATTTATCTGCTCTGCTTCACTCTTACCACCTCCCTGGGAATCCTGACCCACCAAGCTTAGAGGTAGCAGGCCATCCCCAACCATGGGAGCCCAATCTACCCTTCCCTTTTGATGAGGCCTTCTGGACAGCAGAAGCCACCTCCACCAAATGCCCCTGAAGGATCAGCCTTCTCTACCTCTGGGTAGAGAAAAGGGTAGCAGTGAAGGGTACTAGGAGACAAGACCCTCTGGCTAGTGGGTACTACAGAGCACTGGGCTGGCCTCCCAGAAAGGAAGTCACCCAGGAACTAAAACCCCTCTTCTCAGAGTCCCACCCTGGGGGGCCCAGGCCAATAAACACAGGCCATCCATTATATACCAAAAAATTTAATTGAAATACCTGTATAAAAAATATGATCTCCAGACATCTCACACTTTTGAACTGAAACAACCCCACCCCTGATGCCTACTTACACCAGGGTCACAGAGACACAGCTGCTAAAATAAATTAAGGGCTTGAGACTCTGTCCCCTACCCCAGCTTCCAGAGCCAGCAAGCAAACTGTACAAGGTCAATAATTTAAAGCCCAGCCCAGTGCAGAGTGCCCACTCCCCTTAAATTAGCCACTGTACAAGTTCTTCCTCCCACAGACACATGAGCTGGGGACCTACTCAGGTGCAGGAATCAGGATGGGGGTCTGTAGGCTGCACTCCCTCCTTTGCCCCTTCCTACACCCCAGGGGCCTGGAGGAAGGAACCTCAAGAAATAAATTAAACAATAAATAGCCCCAGCAGGGCAGGGGCGCCCTCCAGGGTGGTCACACCATAAATAAGAGACACTGGCTCACGCAGGTAGCGCGACTGGGGTGCGACGGGGTGGCAGATGGGCAGCAGTGGCCCAGCCGTTGCATTGCTTGTGCGCAGACATGCCCAGACAGACGCTATGAGACTGGAGGGTGGAGGTGGGCACCACATGGGTGCTCCCAAGTCAGACACAGTTGGTCTCAGGAAGGCTGTCTCCAAGATGGAGCAGCAGGGTAGGGGGTCTCTGGTTCAAGTATCCACCCAGGGCAGGCGGGACCTCGCTTTGCCCGCAGCCGTCTTTGGACAGAAGAGCTCAAGAAAACCCAGGCCCTGTGGAGCAGCGTTCAAAAAGGCACTCAAAGCAAAGGAATCAGGCCCGGTGCCAAGAGTAAAGGTCACCAGGGGTCAGAGGTCACTGCTTTTGCAGGAGACATCCCAGGCAGAGAATGTCCTTATTGGAAGGGGGCTGGCCAGATCAAACCTAGGACCCCAGTGTGGAGCCCAGGTTCTTCCTCACAAGCTCTCACTGCTGGATGTAGTGCTGGCTCCGTCATCAGCATCCAGAGCACACAGCCGAAGGTCACAGCTCTCTGGAACACTCCCCTCTGTCCCCAGCATCCACGGATGGGCTGCAATTTGGTCCAGTGAGGGCCTCTCAGAGGGCCGCAGGGCCAGACACCACTCAATGAGCTGCTGGCACTCTGAGGAGAGAGCAGAGGGTCAAAGTCCTGCTGCACTGCCCAGCCTCCAACCCGAGGACAAGCCACACAGCACACACCTGGGGAGACCCTCCTACGGAAGAACAGCCGGCCTCGCAAGATCTCCTCGTCCTGCTCGAAGGGGATGTCCCCACACACCATGTCATAGAGCAGCACGCCCAGAGACCACACCGTGGCAGAGCGCCCGTGGTAGCGGTGGTAGCGGATCCACTCTGGGGGGCTGTACACCCGGGTGCCTGAGGGGACAGTCGGAGTTAGGCACACGCAACGGAGATTAGGACTGCACACACTGGGCGCCCGCCCTAATTAGCTCCTCGCCGGCCTCCACCTTGGCCTTCAAATCTTGCTTGTCATCACCCTGGAAAAACCCCAGCCCTGCAGCAGGCGGGGCCCAGGAAAGGAGGGACGTGGCGGCCAGGGGAGGGACACAAGTGGAGGAGGCCCAGGCCCGCCCCTGGCAGGCCCCACTGCGGGCGGGAGAAAGTCACATGAGCCCTGGCTCCGGTTTCACAACAAACAGATGTGCCATAGGGCGCTTTGCCCTGGCTTCCAGCTCGCTCCCGCCCCAGTGCCGGCTCCGCTCAGCCCAGCCCAGCCCAGCCCAGCGAGCGGGGCCCGGGAAGGGGAGGAGAGGAGCTCGGGAAGGGGAGGGGCGGGAGAGATGGCAGGAGGAGGGAGAAGTAGGGGGAGCCCCGGCTTCCCCGCGCTCCGCAATGCGGGGATTTCTACTGCGGCGCCCCCACGCTCCGCACGCACGCACGCAGGGAAGGCCCGCGACGCCCGCCCCGGCACAAGGAGGGGCCGCGTCACGCGCGCCCCGCGGGGCTCCCCGGCGGCCACCCCCGGCCCCAGACCCGCCGCAGGGCCACCCCGGGGTCCCCACCGCCCCCGTCCTGCACGCAGCACGGCGCGGCGCAGGGCCTCCCCCACCGTCGCTCTCTCCCCACCCGCCGGCTCACCGTCGAAGTCAGTGTAGACCGTGTCCTTGAGCAGCGCGCCCGAGCCGAAGTCGATGAGCTTCAGCTCGCCCGAGCGCAGATCCACCAGCAGGTTCTCGTCCTTGATGTCGCGGTGCACCACCCCGCAGCTGTGGCAATGGCGCACGGCGGCGAGCACCTGCGTGAAGAAGCGGCGCGCCAGCGGCTCCTCCAAGGCGCCCCGCTCCGTGATGAAGTCGAACAGGTCCTGCGCCGGCTCGGGGCGCTCCAACACCAGCAGGAAGCCGTCGGGCCGCTCGAACCAGTCCAGCAAGCGGATGACACCGCGCGCGCCGCCCGCTGCGCCCACCTTGCGCAGCAGCACCACCTCCAGCGGCACGGCCACGCCGCCCTGGGGGACACGACGGTCAGCCGCCCGGCCGCCGGGGCCCGCCCGGCCGCCCGCCCCGCGCGCGTCACCTACCAGGCTGCCCCACTCGGTCACCCGCTCCTTCACCACGTGCTTCACAGCCACCTGCGGAGGGACGCGAGCGGTCAGCCGGGCGGCCCGGCGGGGCGCGAGGGGACGGGGGTCCGCCCAGCGCCGCGACTCACCGGGAGCCCGTCGGCGATGCGGCTGCCTGCGTAGACCGTGCCGAAGCCGCCGCTACCCAGCACGGCGCCCACCTGATACAGCTTCTCGAAGCTCTCCTTGTCCGCCTTGGCTGTGGGGATGCGCAGGCGGGTTGGTGATGGCGGTGTGTCCCGCCGACTCCCGCCGCCCTGGCCACCCCGGCCCGCACGCGTACCTGGCTGCAAGATCTTCACCGGGAGGTGGTCCACGCCGCCGGGCCCGCAGAGATGCGCCAGTGAGCCGAACTTGGAAAGCAGCATCGCGGGCGGCCTCGCGTTCGGTGGCGCCTCTGGCCCGGCCGGCGCGGACGCAGGAGAGCGACCTCCCCGGCCGCAGACAGCGGGACGCAACCGGCGAGCCCGAGGCCGAGCAGTCGGCTAGGCGGCCGCGCGGCGCAGTCGCCCGGTGGCCGCGCAAAACCTCGCAAACGGGCAGCAGGCCGAGCTGCTCACACGCCCCGGCCGCCTCGCCCCGGGGTTTTGGACCGAGGCGGCGTGTATCCTTCCGCGGAGGCGGAGCCAGGCTAGACCCCGCCCTGCTCCGCCCAAGGCTGGTGCGGCGCTGCGGTCCGGAGGCTTCGGAGGCGAAGCTGGGGAAGCCGGGCGCGCCCCCTGTCTATCCGCCAAAGGTCCGCGGCGGGCGGGGACGGCGACCCGTCCGGACTAGCTCGCCGTAGTAGAGTCGCGGAGGCGCACGGCGTTCCGCGGCTCCCCGACCGCGCGCTCGCTCTCTCGCTCGCTCACACTGCGCACGCGTAATTCGCCTCCGGTAGCGCGGGCGGGGCCGCGTGAGCCAATGAGAAGCGAGGTTTTGAAAGGACGCGGGGGAGCTTGGGGCTCAGCCAATGGCAACGCGAGGGCGTGGCCTTCCCCCGCCGCCCCCCAAATCCTCCCCGGCCTAGCGGAGAAAGGTCATTCTCCCTGCCCGGCGAGTTGCGTGTGTTCTGCTTTCGTCCCCAGTGGCGGAGCCTGCCACTTAGGAGCAGCGGAAATCCGGGGGGACCCCCAAGGGGCTCCAGGCGGGCGCTGACCCACGCCGTGTGTGCGTCACCCGCGGCCCCAGTGCGCACGTGGCTGGCGAGCGAGAATGCCTCGCGCCCAGAACCTCCCAGCCTGTGTGCTGAAGCGCACACGCATACACGCGCGCACACAGGCCCGGCCTGCGGGTTCGCCCACCCTCTTACCTTGTCCCAGCCCATTTCCTCCTCTCTGGACGCCTAGGAAAACTTGCCCCCCTGCCCCGCCTCCCCGCTCTTGTTTCCGTCTACTGCCCCCTGCTACCAGAGGACCCTCGTTGATGGATCTGTGATGGCCATAGAGCAGCCCGGTCCACATGGCCTACTGCAGTGTCCCTGTGCCCCTTCTCTTTCAGACACCTGGTGGGATTGAACCCCATGGGGTGCTGGCCCGAGAGCAGCTCAGGGCTTGGGAATGTGAATGGTCATCTGCTGGCCCTAGAGCGCTGGGAGCTAAGTCCAGGACTGTAAACTTTTGACTGATGTTACGGGCTGTTAGCACCTCAAGCATCCAGAGCCTGGTCTCTCTCCTTCACGATCACTGTTACTGCCTCTCCACTTTTGCCACTGACCACACCTTTTTCTCAGCCAGGAGCCCTTCTGGCGCTGCCTTGACCCCACCCAGAGCCTTCCTAGCCCCCACCAACTGGTCCCCTGCCCTGGACCTAAGCCTTGGCGAGTGATAGCTCCTTTCTTATCCCCTAGCCCCTTTCTGCCTTTTTGGCTTCGTCCCTCAAGCACCCACCACACTGCTATCCTCTGAAAGAGCCACGGGTTCTTGGACCTCTGGTTCTCTCCCGCAGTGTTAATCGTGCCTCCACAGAGCAGTACTCCCAGTAGCCCTCACCATTCAGCATGATTCACAGGGTGTCTGCTTAGGTGGAGGGCTGTTGTCTGATTGTGGATCCTGCAGGGCCTGCCCTCCTCCAGGCCAAGAAAGTCTAACTGTGTTGGTCCCCAGATTTTGGCGAGTAGGAAGAGAGCTGGGGAGCCTTCCGGGTCTAGGTGGTAACCAGGGCAGATCTAGATGGTAAATTCAACGGTGAGCTGTGACTGGGGTCCCCTGGTGGCCCTCGCCCAGCATGTCAGCTTCCAGGCCAGTCCTCCCCAGATTGTCCTAGCCCTCACCCTACCTAGGTCCTAATGAAGTCAGCCTTGGAAGACCAGGACTGTCGAGACCCACCCCATCCATGTTCCTCAAACTCTTGAGAGGTGTTCCCAATACACTCTCCCCAAACTCTCAGCAATGGGAAGCCACTCTTCAATGGCAATGAATCACACACAGCTAGTCTCCCCTCACTTTGAAGTTGGGCTGAAGACCACTAGCAGGGCTGCCTCACAGGGCTTCTAGAGGGCTTGGGGGAAGGATGGAGGTCTCCTGCAGAATAGGAAGCAAACTTCTCAGATGGGGATTTCTCTGTAACCTTCACTTTCTGGGACACTATTGTGTCTATTGTGGATTCACTACTTTATTAACCCCATGGTGTTGAGGACTCCAAACCAACTAAGCCCCATGATATATCAGAATAGATCCTGGCCCTCACCCCCAGGAGCCATCCATGCAACATGAAGGCCTCCATCACACTCCATCTGGCCTGAGGAGAAGGATAACAAGGGACTTGGTTTGAGTAGTCACCCAGGCCACCATAACTGTTTGAAAGAGCACTGGAGAACCCTGTATCCCCAAAGAATCATGCCCCTACTTGCAATGGACATGGCACATCCTATTTATCGGTTAGCAAATGGAGGCTCTGGTAGGTCCTGTCTGTGGTGCCTCTGCCCTCTTTGCCCAGCAGTCTGAGCTGAATCTGAGACCCCCTTCTGGTCTTGTGCCTTCTAGGCATGGCTGTTGTGGACTTCAGGCCATCCTAGCTACACATGTCTCAGCACTCCAGCCAAGTCCCGTGCAGAGCACCAGCCCTCTGCCTGTTTTTTCCTGGTTCCTGGAAGGTCCATCCGGTAAGCCTTAAAAATAGCTCAGGGCCCCGCAGGTCACCCAGCCCCTGGGCAACAGAGCTGGGGCATGCCTACAGATGGAGAGGAGTCTTGCTGCAGATTCCCATGTCCTGCCCCTTGCCCTCTGACCATCCAGGGTACCCCAGGTCCAGATCAGTGTAACACAGGAGTCCCAAATGTTGGTCTGCTTTTCTGAGAAGCACTGCCTGCCTGTGTCTCTTACCCAGGTGCTACTCAAGGAGGAAGCTGGTGGAAAGGTAGTCTCTATCAGAGAGGTTGCACCCCCAACTCTCACCCAGCCTGGAGCCATCTGCATGTGGACCTGGATACTGCCATCTCAGCCTGCAGCGGGCACAGACCAAATGCCCGGCCAGCCCTACCAGGTCACTCTGTCCTGCTGATAGGAGGGACTGTGCTGTTGCTGTGGTGACAGGAGCCAGGCTGGCCTCCCTGGATTAGGGAGGAAGGGATAATGGACTGGAGGGTAGCTGGGGCCTTGGTCGCCCCACCCCAGTCAGACACATATACACATAAACACAGCCACAACTTGCACACACAGGCACACAAACACACGCACTCCCGACACTCTACAGAGCTGAGGCATTATGGGACAGGTTGAGGTGGGGCACCTCCCACATTCCTTCCCCGCCTCCCCACTTCCCTGCTCTGGTGCTCTCAGACCACCCTGCACCCTCTTCACTCCTTCCCTGTCCACTTCCAGTGCCCTTGCCTGTGACAAAGCCTAGGCCCAGCTGGGTCTCCCTATTCCCTCCTGGCTGTCCTTGAGGACCTTCCCACCTGGGCCATTTCTGGAGTCCTCCACCTCAAAAGCCATTGGGTCTGTTCTTTCTCTCACACCTCCCTCTCACTGGTCTGCTGTCTCCTATCCCAGCCTCATCCTGGACTGTAGTTCATGCCTCTTTGGCCATCGAGATCAATCCCTTCCACTGGTAGTTCCAACTGAGCCCTGTTCTCCCTCTGACCTTAGCTCCCACCACACCTGAGCTGGCCCCTCCTCGGCCCCCATGACCCAGCTGGCAGTCTCCCACATGGGCATACCTGGCACCAGTCTCACACCCCTGATCTGGCCCCAGTCTGCTGCTGTACCAGACCAACCCTACCCTAGACCTGGCTCTGGCCAGCTGATCAACCAGTAGTCCCCAGCTGCCCACCCTGCTAGGCCTGTCCAAGGCCAGGCCCCTCAGGCTGACTAGAGGCAGAGTTCCCAGTGCAAGGCAGGCCCTTTCCCCTCCTGCCTTCGCACTCCTTGGCAAACCTCATGGATAAGGAGAGGAGCCAGCTAGGATTTTGCAACACTTCCCCAAAGGTGTCCCTTGCCTGGGGAGGCTCAGCAGAAGAAGGGACACCAGCCTATATGAACTCTGGCCCAGCTGCTGTGGCTGCCACTTCCAACCTTGCCCCAGAGGCTGATGGACGCCATCTCCATGCCCAAGGGACCCTGGCCTGTCCTAAGTCCTCAGCTCAGGCCTATCCATCGCTGACAAGCTGCAGCTCCTCCTTGGATGGTTCCTGCTTCCATTTAGAATATTTACCCACAGCCCTCTATGACCAGGGAGCACACACAGCCATGGCCAACTGGCCTCACTTCTCTGAACTTGGCAACAAAGAGGCCTTGTAAAACCAAAGAGATTGCCATGAGCATCCAGGCCTAAACTAGGCCCTCATCCATAGCTGAATGGTTTCTGTCACCCCAAAGCAACCCAGGCTGACTCCTCTAGTAAGCCTTGGGGATAGTAATGATGGTGGATATCATGGCATCAGCTCACCCTATCTCAACCCAGCAGCCCAGAGAACTGCAGCTATACTGGCCCCAACAGTGTCATTTTGAGCTGGGGCTGTGGGTCCATGTGGCAGAAGTCTGGGCAGAGTCCAGGCAGACTAGGCTGAAGGTGCCCCTCCTAACAAGGCTCTTGCCTACAATCGAGCCCAGCTGCCCACACCATCTGTCTTGGACCAGGTCTGGTCCTCTTTGCCCAGCCTCACCATTCTTGCCTTTGCCCCAGCAGCAGTTTCTCTGGTTTACCTCTGGGGACCATCCTCAGAATCCCAGCCTGGGTACCATAGCCCAGGCCCCACCTAACACTCAGACCAAGGCTTTGCCTTGCTGCTGGAATAATGTCATGTCCCAAGAACTTTCCAGCCTCAGCTTCCCCTGTTTGTAGATTAGGGCTTGTGGTGTCTGGGAGACGCCTGTGAAATACTGTCCAGAGTACCCAGTGGGCACCTCACAGACACCACGATGGCTGCCTGGCAGGTACATAGCCTGGAGTTTCATCAGCAGAGTCTCAGAGCTTCCTACATGGGTTAGCCTGAGGTGGGGTATGAACGGCATCCCCAAAGCTTCACCACCCTAGGACCAAGCCCAACTAGGTCTGTGGTGAGATGGGAGTACCCATTCACACTCCTCCTGGTTGTCCTTCCCAGTTCACATAGGCAGGTAAGTGCTCAGCACCACCCTTCACAGAAGCTCACACCCTGACTCCCGGTGGAAGCCTCCAATCTGCTAGGGATGTAGGGAGGGGCCCGACGAAGTGTCCAATTCAAACACGATCCAGGAGATGCACATATACTGAGCACCCGCAGCATGTCTGTCAGTTCAGGACACTCATGTGCCCCACGTCAGCACAGGATGCTTGCTGTCACACCTGTTTGCGCCATCTGGTCAGAACAGTGGCCTTTGCTGGTATGGGCTGTTGAAGGGCAGGACAAGCCTGAGAGTAGCAGCTGGCCATGTAGATCTCTCACAGGAGT